GAGAGAGAGAGAGAGAGAGAGAGAGAGAGAGAGAGAGAGAGAGAGAGAGAGAGAGAGATGTAGAAGAGGAAATAGGGGATGCAGGTTCGTGTATGGGGAGATAAGGTGAGGGAGTACTCACACGACTATTTCAGAGGAATTTGGTCATAAACACGGTTAGGTACGTCAAGGGAAGTCCTATTGTAAGAAAGCCCTCAGAGGGTCTAACGGCCATGTACCAGGGTCTTCCTCCCAACACAACATACCCTGAAATCCGGTCTCTCATAGTCATGATGAGTGTGCATTGTGTTTACGGGAAGATGGAGACGGAAGAACAAGAGCCATGCTGAAAGTGAGGAGGAGCAGTGATGGGCACAGGAGATGGTCATGTGAGGAGAGAGGAGGAGGAGGAGTTCGAAAGGGCAAGAAAGGGACGAAGGAAAGGCGGGGGGAACAAGAAAGAGGAAAATGAGAGTCAAGAGCGCCTGATGATTACCAGTTGATTTTTAGGTTTGCAGGACAGGGAAAGGGGAGAAATCTGCAATGACACTTCCGGGAATTCTCTTTATTCTTCGAGAACCGAACTCTTTCGCCTTGATCGCCAGCCATGGACAATCAACAAATAAGAAAAAATAAGAAGAGAATGGGAAAAGGGAAAAATAATGACAAGAAAAGCTTATCGGATACATGCAGAAGAATCATGATCGTCATCTGGCACATCCGCATAGGCGGTTCGGTCAAAAAAAGGGCCACAGCAACAGATAGACGGACCGACCAAACCGACCAAACCGACCAATCGACCAACCAACCAACAACCAGCCAACCAAACGACCCACTGATAGACAACCGACAGACACAGACACAGACACAACCACAGACACAGACACAGACACAACCACAGACACAGACACAGACACAGACAAACAGGCAGAGACAGAGAGACACAGACACATACACAGACACAGACACAGACACAGACACAGACACAGACACAGACACAGACACAGACACAGACACAGACACAGGCACAGACACAGACACAGACAGACTGAAGGATCTCAGCACACTGGTGAAGACATGAGCAGACAGATAGAGATTCAGCAACCACACACACACACACACACACACACACACACAC